AATCATGTTTTGGCCTTCATTTCAACACTTTTTTTTTTTTTTTGACTATTTTAGGACTGTTTTTATGAGTTAGCTTCATTCATGTTTGTATAGTATGCTTGTAGTGTAATAGTCCTCATAGGTCTGGTGTTTTAGGCATTAGACACCAACCTATTTGAGTTGATAGCTTTTATTTCTTACTTTCCATACTTGTATTCACCTCTAAGCATCTCTGCAATCTCCCTCATTTCTTGACTTTTTCTCTTTTTTTTGAGAGTTGCTCCAAAAGGAGTGTTGTTTAAGCTTAAACGAGTGGTATTGTGCTTAATGGTTTAATCCCTTTAGGGGTTCATTACCAACGGCATGATCTCCCTCTCATGCCTAAAACAACATTTGGTTTGGTATTTCTCTCCATTAGTGGACTTAATCTTCATTATTGGACTTAATTGACTAATGACTGGAAGGTAATTAAAATGGAGTAATAAAATTGGGGTTAAAATGAAGCAAGATAATAAAATGATTTGGTGTTCAATCGGATGTTAATTGAACACATAGAGACCTGGGTCGTTTCATACTTGTTAGTAATGAAATGGTTCAAGTTTCCATGGTCAACCACTTCCCTTTATCAATCCATGATAGGAATGAGGTTTTGTTGGTCTTTCCTTACCATTTATTGAAATCGCACCCCTTGGTTCATAAGTCATCACGCAATGAAATTGCATCGATTAATGGCTTACGAATCAAGTCTACCCCTCCTTTGACCTGTTTGCTGATAAGAAAAGGTAAGGTGGACAGACATCCCCTGAAAATACTCTGTTTGTTCTCTGTTGTAGCAGGAAAGAACCAACATTAGTGGCCAGCAGGCCACTTTTACTAGGCGACAGGCCACTATTAGTGGCTGGTCGGCCACTATTTCTGGCCTGCCAGCCACTTTTTCTAGCCAGGCAATGTCCTTTTTCCCAGCAGAGCAGAGCAGAAACTGAGGTGGAAAAATAGTGCAATTTTCTAACTGTGCAATAGAGGCACTCTAGCAGCAAAACAGGAGACTTTTTGGAGTAGAAATCCATGTGCATGAATAGGTTAACCCACATTCCCCGAGGCTCATAATAGTTAATTAATTAGCTAATTAATTGTATATTGTAATTAGCTAGTTAGTTTTTGCATTAAACTAAGTAGAATAGCTAGTTAATTTTGTGTTGTACTTATTTAATTAGCTAAAGTAGTTAGTTAATTCGTGGTGTTGTAATAATTAGTTAGCGTAGTTAGTTTATTCATTTGTGTTGTAATAGAATAGTTAATTCGTAATAATTAGCTAGGGCATTTATTCGGACCCTCTTGTGTGAGAATCAAACTTGTAATAATGTGTATGTTTTCCAACCCCACATCTTTCTCCCTTTTCTTTACTCGCTTATGATGGGTAGTTTAGAACATCATGTTTCTTTTAGCATTTCTCATGTTTGCATCCATTTGTCTTGCATGAATCGAGACTCGGTTTATTATTTTAACAAACATTGTCGTTTATTACTTCATTGAAAATGCGTTTAAACCGCATGCTATCAAGTTGTTTCAAATGCCATATTAGTAGCCAAGCCTTCTAAATCCATTTTGCATGAGCCACATTGGGTATCTTTTAATAGTTAGGACCATGCATTTTTCTAACTAGTTTATCTTTTGGCTCGCCTCGGGAATTGGGGTAAACATTTACTGCTTTAGCATATTGCATGAATGTGATTGTTGTCATGTCTAACATACTTGCCATGAGGCTAAGTGCTTAAATGATATATCTGTTTGAATGCCTGTAGATGAAGGCTAATTGCTAGAATTGGAATACATTGATTGATGTACATACAAACTCACTTTTTTCAAGTGCAGCGTAGTCAAAATAATTTTCAAGCAAAACATGAAATCAAATGATTCAATTTTTGCAAATTAGTCTATACTTGTGTGCAACACATAGTAATGTTAGTCTAATAATCGAAACAAGAGCATATAATGTAAATAAGAATCACATCATGATTCGTAGAGGTCGATCTTTGATCGAGCGAGTGGGGTGCTCAATTCATGACCTTCCCCTCTCGTACCTAAGTTCTTGAGCCGAGACATTTTGATGATGACAGATAAGTGGCCTTTGGCACGAGTCCTAGGTCTCCTAAATTTTTCAAAAACATTTAGGTGGCGATTCTGTATCTGGCAAAGCAGTCCATTTTTTACATTTTAATTCAAAATTGATTTTTCAAAAGATTTGCCGGATTTTGATTCTTTTGTGTTCATCTATTTCACATTACACTTGTAAAATCATATTCAGAACCATGAGAGTCTGAACTGTGGGGCTAGTCATCTGCGAAAGGAGCACGAAAAGCAAGCTACGGGGGATTTGGTCAAAACCACGTCATAATAAAACTTTAATGCATTAAGCAAAAGCACAAAAAAAAAAATTGAGAAGTCCAACACATACCATTATTATCAAAATATTAAACTTTAAAATAATATAACTTTTGATGTAAATGTTGATTTTTAATAAAATTAGTATTTTTAAAATTTTCTATCAAATAAAATTCATGTTGACTATGAAATTCTTACCAAAAAAAACATCTATGACTGTCAGAATTGATGTAAACAGTAATAGTAGCATGTTACTCTATTTGACAGTAGCATGTTACTCTGTTTCATAGTAGCATGCTACTCTGTTTTACAGTTACTCTGTTTGACAATAATATGTCACTCTGTCTCATAGTAACATGTTACTCTGGAAATATTGTCCAAGAAAAAAATATATATTTTACTTTGTCCTTACTCAATTATGTATGTTCTCCTTATGGTGTTTATGAAGCAAAATAAATTGAGCCGTCTTTTTCACCAAACAAGGGTCCAATTGAGGGGTTTTGACTAAATTTCCCTTTATATAATTTTATTCTCAAACCGTCTGAACCGCACCACGCACACTTTTACCCTTGATTGGGAAAAGCTTAATTAGTGTTTGTTTTTGTCGAGATCAAATACTAATGAAGCCTTATCTCAATAAAAAATAAAAAATAAAAAAATCTCATTATTAAGGGTCTTACTTTTTTTAAGTCACTTTTTGATTATTTAGTGGTCGTTTATTTATTTCTTGATTTTTTACAAAAAGATGCATAGAAAAGTAGAGAGAGTGATGTAACAACTTGTTTAACTTTCTTACTTTTTGACTTATTTAGGGGCTTCCCAAACGATCCCTTAAATAAAAAATAATTAATTGTTTAGTTTTGACTAGAAAATATGTCACTTTTTTTTAGTAGAACCATCATACTTGAAAAAATGTTATTATTTTGGGTACAAACCCTCATCTTTCTTATCTATAACCTATATATAAAATAATTAAAGTAAGCATGTCCCTTTGCATCTAACACATCAAATTATCTGATTTGCCCTAATATATTAGCTGGTTGAAGTTTCAACATAGGAACAAAAAAACAAAACACCTACACATGAAAGCGCTAGAAGTTTTGCATCTTTATTTTGAAATTTGGGGCTAAAATGTAATTTTTTTAACGTTTTCCGTTTCAAATCTAACAACAGGGGAAAAATTGATAGTAATTTAAATAGTATATGGGTACGCGTGAAAATAAGAGTAGTCTGGGGGGTCATTGAAAATCGTGACAAAGTATAGGGTAAAAATGAAATAATCTCGTTTGACTAAGAGATTGAGATGTTTTGGCTTCCATACATTGTTCACCATGTGTTTGATCAAATCCTAAGAAAAAATTAACAATGCTACTGGTAGTGAAAGTTGTATGTGACAAGTGTTCTTTTGTGACCCATAAATTAATTGGTGATTGAAATTTTTAGGGATTACGACTCATGGTTTGAAGTATATGAACATAGTAGTGGCAAGAACAAGCTACTGGCAGTGAAAATTGATTTCTCACAAACAATTTAACTTTCATAAACTTTCTTAATTTATCAATCTAACTTTATAATCAATAATTCCACCCTGATGTTGAAAAAAAAAAAAAAAAAACCAAACCAGGAAGAAAAAGAGCAGGAAAAAAATAACACCACCAAATTGATTTCTCACATACACTTTAACTTTCATAAACTTCCTTAATTCATTAATCCAACTTTACAATCAAAACAACTTGTCCCAATTTCTAAGTGGCAAATAAATATTTAAGCATAGAAAATTGAGCATAAAACCATATCATGATGTTGGGGCTTAATGAATGTAAATGAAATGATCTTACTAATTTGTCAATAACATATGATTGGAACATAAAAATCACACAAAACAAGGTTGGGAAAGCAACTCACAACCTGAGAGATGTAGGCACAAAGAATAGTTTTTTAACACAAGACAACAACTCTGAGTCAGTTTTATTGCAGACACTTTAACTTTCATAAACTTCCTTAATTCATCAATCCAACTTTACAATCAATAATTCCACCCTGATGTTGAGACAAAAGAAAAGAGCAACAAAAAAACAAAAACAAAAACAAAAAGAAAGAGCAAACCAAGAAAAAAGAGCAGGAAAAAAAAAACTAGCAAACCAGGAAAAAAAACAACAAATTAGGAAGAAAAACAGCAAGGGAAAAAAAAAAAAAACCACAAAATTGATTTCTCACATACACTTTAACTTTCATAAACTTCCTTAATTCATTAATCCAACTTTACAATCAAAACAACTTATCCCAATTTCTAAGCTAATTACGATTTTTCTTTCCTTTTCTCTATCCATATCTAGAGTTTTTTGTGATTTAAATTTTTATCTTTGTTGTGCTTTTTTGCAAAACCTGGGCATTTGAATATGCCTGATTTGTATATTTTGTTTTGTGTTTCTTCAATTCGAGAATTAAACACACCTATCTCTCTATATATTCTGGTTTAGTGTGTGTCTCTTTGAATATGCCTAATGGGTTTAGTGTTTGCGTTTGTGTTTTGTGTGTGTAAATTTTGGATTTAGTATTTTGTTTTGGGTAGTGATTTCATTTGAAACTGATCCTTAGGGAGCTTAGGGAATGACCTAGTAATTTTTAAAATGTCTACCTCATTTTATTACTTTTTGTATCTTGCTTTCTCTTTATCTGGTTCATTACAATTCAAGTTTTTTTCATGTTACAGGTTGATATTTTTTGGAAGTACAATGAAATTCTTGGCAAAGGAGCTTTTAAAGACAGTGTGTGAACCTCATTTCCTCATATTATTTTGAACTTTCATTGTGCGTAATATTTTCCTAACTTAAATATATATATACACATCTATATTATTTTGGTTTGTTCTTTGTGTAGTTTTAGAGCATTTGATGACTATGAAGGGATTGAATTACAATGGAATCGGGTAAAAAGATCTATAGGGGTTGTTTTGTGAAATTCAATACCAGAAAACACAATTACATATGTTTGGTAGCTTTAATTATTTAGTGCTTTCATAATGCTATTAAATATGTTGTCAATGAGGAACACAATAATTTAGATTTATTTAATTCTTCAATTTTTCCCTACTTGTCCTTCTCCCTGCAGTTTGCAGTTAAAAATATTCATGATGACAATTAAATTTTGGTTAGTTAGGGTTATAATTTTAGGCTTACACTGCAGGAATCGTTCTTCAACAGTCAACAATTGGAGGTAGAGAACCCAACGCTTGAGAGAGGTGGCATTGCTTATGATACAGTTTTGTTATAAAACAGTCGGTAATGGCCACAAGAGACATGATTCATTCTTGTCGTTCTCTAATACAAGTTGTGCATTTTAATTTTTCTTTTTCTTCATATTTGTTGACACCGTTAAACCAATTTTAATTTTAAGATTGTTTTTTATTGAATTTGTTTTGGGTCAAAAAAATGTAGGATTATTTGTTTGTTGGACTTTTGCGAGCACTTGGAATTTGGTTAAATTAGTGTTTAGTCGCTTTGTATTTAGTTTCCCACCGCAAACGCTAATCTTAAAATGTCGGGTTACCAAGTATAATTTATGTCAAGATTGATTTGTTTAACCTTGGTTATTTAGGTATTTGTTTATTGATTAATATGCGATTAAAAGTAAGATTGGAGTTTATCTAAAAGATACAATTTAGGGAACAATATAAATAGGGAAATAATATTAAATAAGGAAATAATGCAAAATCTGACTTGATGAAGATTAAACACCAAATCATTGACAGAAAACACCATAGCATGAGATGAATCATTTACCCACGTTGCAATTCTTACTTTTATAAGCTCACAAACTTCCTCCAAATTTGGCTGCACCCCATTAAACACAATATCTTTTCTCAATTTCCAAATAGACCACAAAATTGCAATTAGGGTGGCATTCCAAATTCTTTACTCCAGCTTTTTCATACGAGTCCCAACCCAAAACTGCAGCAGACTCACCACTACCCTGGACATGGTGTCACTTGTGAGGTTAAATAGAGGGTTTTGATTGAGTTTTGAAAGAATATTAAAGAACACTTTGAAGGTTTGGCATGTTCTTGAGGCTTGGGGTTTACTTGCACCATTCCAACCATCAACTCTATCTTTTCCCTCCTCCTTATGAATCAAAGCTTCAAGTAAAGGTAAGGGTCTTCTGACATCTTCATTAGAAGCATGCTAGGGTTTCTATTTTTAACTAATAACATTATTCCTGAGTTAGTTTTGTATTCATGAGTAGTTTTATATATTTCAGTCCATGAAATTAATGCTCCATTAAAATCCATATTTTGAATGTGTTAAGTTAAATTCCTATTCATACTTTGTTTCATGGTTAATAACTCATGTTTGAACTAAGTTAAGGTATCACTATGAAACCTTCAAAAGGGTTAGTGTAACATGATTTTATAAACTTTGAGTACAATATTCTTAGCCATCTATGAAATCAAAATAAATGATTATTTAATTAATTTAGGATTTTCATGTCAAAAGTTAAAAAATATATTTTATGGCATATTAGAAAACTATTAGTATAAACAACATACAATCACACTTATTTAGAAAATGTGATTAAAAAAAAAAGATATGATCACACTTATTTAAAAAATGAGATTAAAAATAAATATTATCACGCTCACTCAAATTAAGTGTGATTAAAATATCAATCTAATTTTTTTTATCACACTTCCAATAAAAATGAGATAGTTTCATTTGTCAAAGTGTGATCTTTAACTATTTTTGTAGTAGTGGTAATGGATTTAAATTTTGTGCCAGCTAAAGAAAGCGATAATGGAATTTCTACCAATCATTGCTTCAATCACTCAATTGGTCGTCTCCCTCCTATTCAAAAGGTGCTTCAATTCTTGCTTATTTTGTAGCCTATATATGCATAATAAGCACATGGTTTGATTGCATTATTTTTATCATGTGCCATAATGTAAATTCTGAAAATAAAAAGTAGATTGTTGATTCTTTTCCAAAATAGCAAATAAATTTACCAAACATTTTTACGAAATTGTAATTTATTTTGGGTTTGCTTTAATTAGAGTTGTGATAAATATTGTTACACATGCAATATATTGCATGATTTTTTGAATAATATCATTCCCTTTGTTTTGGGTTTGGAACTTTCCAGCTAAAACCTTGTGATCAACCCTTGAGAGGATCTTGCATTTATTGGATTAATCAATTGATTTGTATTGCAAGTTGTAATGTATTAATTTGTTAAATTAATTAATTATTAAACTAATGAAATTGAACTATGTTGATGCTTTTTTTGATTGATTCCTTAATACTAGGTTGATGCTTAATTATATAAATTGTGTTTGAATTTCCTAATGGAGCTACAAAATTAATACTTGCCCTGTTGGGTTGATGCCGATATAGTGGAAGTTTGAAGAGGTAATGATGATGAAAAGGTGGCAATAGTGCTACTTGATGATTCGAAAGGTCAGTTTGGTATTGCACCAATTTTTTTCTCAATTAACAAGAATGTTTGGTCTTATGTGTTTCATTGCTGTCGCTTTTTCTTGCATATCCCTATGTTCATGAAATTGTGCATGTTCACTAGCTTTAGATCAAGTAGCATCAGAAAGTAGTATTCATTGGTCTCCCCATTGGCTTTATGCTAAACCGAGTGAGACTAAAATGGTGAATTCTATATGATTTGACGATTGTAGCTCTGTTTTTAACTTAACGATAACCTTTGATACCTCCGTTATGTGTACCATTTTATATCTATAAAGGTGTAGGATATACTAATTTAATGATGGGTTATTTACATTGAGACCCCTTAAACTATATGTACATCAAAAATCAAAATATTGAGAAACAGTTTCCGCTAAAATGGAGTTCAAATGCTCAAAAATCTCACTCCAATACAGATAACTAGCATATTACCTTGCATAATTAAGCTGTCCAATGTATTCGCTTTATTTTTGCCTATGATTGACCCACAATTCTTGAATAATGTTCTATGGTTCAATATTTGATCAATTTGGCTTGTAATTTCAATTCATACAATAAAGTCTATAGAATTTAATGACAATTGATCGTGTATTTGCCTCACTCTATGATTCCTAGCCAATTATAGCGCAATCACCATGGATTTATTCCTAGCCGATAATCCAACTAGTCTAGGTTAAAAGTTTGTACTTTTGTTTCTTTGGAAAGTTAAAAAGAAAAAAAAAAAAAGAAGAAAGTTAATGCTTCATAGACTATATATTTTTTCTTAGGGAGAAGCTTTTTCTAGTTGGGAAAATTAACTGGAGGGTATTGTTGGGCTTCCATAAACTCATTATAGAGCCTTTATAGATGATTCGAACCGTTGAATATGTAGAACTCGTCGAGTACTTTATCCCTATGAAAAAATCACGTTGATTAAATACTGATAGCTGCTTGATCAGATCACATCCGTGTCAACAATTTATTTTTAAAATTATATTTATTGTTGACAGAAATGTGATTTGATCAAGTGGTTATTGATATCTGATCAACTTGATTTTTCTACAGAAATAAAATACTCGACAAGTCTTACATATTGACGGTTTGAATCATCAATGGGGGCTTCATAACGTTCCCATGAAAGTCTAACAACCCTACAATTCAATATGGACTAGAGAGAAATCCTCCCCTTCTTTTGTTTATTGTTTAGAAATTTTGGTGAAATGAGTCAGCATATTGCAGGAAAGTGTCGTATTCTAATTGAAAAATGCTAAGAGTCCCAAATATTTTATCAAATGTTTCATATAGATATGAGACCCATATAATGTGGGTTTTATGTAGGTCTCACACTATGTGAGATATTTAGTAGAATATTTGATAAACATGTACGTCCCACACAATGTCAGACATTTAGTAAAATATTTGATAAAATATTTGAAATCTTTAGCATTACTCTTCCAATTTTTCCCTAAGGCAAAAGTAAATCAAATCTTAGTTCCCAAGTTTTTTATTTTTTTTAAATAATAACATCAAAAAAATATATATAAAGGATTTAAAGTATGCCACGATTTTTCGTAAAAGCAACTTTTTCTCTTGCTTTGTCATTGTTCATTTTTTTCCTTCAACTGTGCTACAAACTCCTAAAAAATACAATTCCCACAATCCCACAACCCCCACTCACAAAAGAAAAAAAAAACATGATTGGTCCACATCATTTTAGAGGTCATGGGAATCCCAAGCATTTTTGTATTTTCTTTTTATTTTTTTATTTTTTTTCTATTCTTACACTACTTTTTATTTAATTCTTATTGCCTAAGCCCTAAGTTTCACTAATTTATTTGAGAAACATGTTTAACACTGTCCTTTTTCTTTTCTTATCGGTGTAAAGCGCATCAGCCACTCCAAAGTTAGTTCGATCAAAATTGATATGGCATTTGCTGTAGAGGCTGCATGGTGGGCAACGATAACCAAGTTAAACATGTTTAAAGACCGTTGCCTAGCTAAACCCACTACAATATATAAATATTTTATTTAGAAATTAAGTTTTTTAAAAAAAAATTCTCACACAAAACATTAATAGGCCAATTTTAGTCGTCACTTACATGCACGATGTTTATTTTTATTTTAATATAACTGTGATATAAAAAAATTTTAAAAAAACATATGACGTGTAAAGATATAGAAAAGATACTTGAAAGAAATTTCTTGGAAGAGATTAACTTTAAAAAAAATTGGAAAAATAATTGTCTTATTATACCAAAAAAACTTCCATCTTGAATTCTCTTTCTATTTTATACCAAAAAAACTTCATCTTATTAGAAATTGTTTCTATGATATTTAAATTTTTGTTTATGTATATATAATTTATATATATCATATTATACATACATATATGTTTTGTGTATATGGTAAAAAAAATTATTTTCTTTTGGCCCCTCCGATAATGAAATCCTGGTTCCGTCCCTGTGCATAGGGACTGTTTTGTTGTATTTTACTATTTTTTCTTTTGTTAAATAAGTTCAAAAATTTTCACTACTTAAAAAAATTAAAATATTTATTCATCACCAGTTAAAAAAATAAAAATATCTAATTAATTCCCCAAAGGACGCAGCTTCACATGATATTTATTTTATTGGGTAATTTTGATGCATGATCAAGAAGTACATGAAAAGAATTGTTATTGGTGAAAAAAATAAGATTTATAATTTTGTATTAAAATATAAGGAATAAAAAAGGATGTGATATTTTTTATTAAAAAAAAATAAAGGGCATGATATATATATATATATAAGTTGTGTTCTTTTCTTGTTTAGGTAGCACATTCCAAATATTTGCTCTTTTTTTTTCTTCTAAAAAAGTCATATCAATATGTTTTTTTTATTACATATAAAATCCTTCACAAATTTAATTTAAATTATAATAACCAATTTTATATAGATTCTATTTCAGAAATATTTATTTTTTATCGTGTATTTAGTTTTGTCGTTGTCATATTTCTTTTATATAGTTGATATTTTAATTTAATTATTATGATATTTGAAAAAAAAATTATCTTGTTATACAGATAAATAAATAAATAAGATAGAATGTGCTTAATCATGTGCATCGCACGGATCAAATTAATTTTCTCTTATATTTTTAATTTTTTTATCTATCTTATTGAAGTCTTAATATTAATTAATATTTAATTTTTTGTTTAACATGAAATTATTTATTACAAAGTATTTATATTTAATTTAAATTTTATATACCTATATACAATATGTATGAATAATTCAAAAAGAATATTAAAGAAAAAAAATCAATAATTTACATATTTAATTTATGTATTTTCTTATTAATCCAATCACAGCATATTTATATTTAATCTTTTAAATAAATTTTGTGTACTTCTATTTCTACATATTTTTATTTTTCAAATAAATATAATAAAATTAAATAATTAGAATCACTTTTAGTTTTATATTACTAATTCTCTTTCTAATTAACTATTATTTTTAATATCAAAATAAGTGTTTATTTAACTATGTTATAATTTAATATATATATATATATATATCATATAAAATCATTATATGATAATTACACTTTTTATAGCACAATAGAATTAAAATTATCAAAATAAATAAATAATTTAACTAAATTTATAATATATAAGTATTCAAATAACATTTTTATAGAACAATAAGTCTAAGATTGTTAAAATAAATATTTTAAATCAAAATTTATTAAATAAATATTTTAAATTAAAATGTTATTTTAAATTAAAATTAATATTATTCTTTTGTAACACATATTATAGTATAAAATATCATTACATTAATTAAAATTAACTCCATTATGATTTTATGTCAAACATATATTTCTAGAAGTGATTTACATACACGTGTCGTGTCTAATTTAATATTGATTGATTAAAATAATAAAACTCAATGCTTTTTTTGTTAAGTTTTTAGAAAATAAATTGACAAATGTCAAATGATAAATAGTGTGGAATATTATTACAAAATAATGATTTATCGAAAATCATTATATATATTTAAGCCACTTATTGATGTTTCTTGAATAATTTTTAAATAAACATTCTGAATTTATAGTATTATTAATAATGCACATTCATAAGCTCTGCCAGAAAAGATGTGTAAAAATAATTTGAATGGAATAAAAATTTTGCTATTATTATGATGTGCTACATAATTAATCAAAACTCCTTTGAGAACTGAAATTATTAAGGTCATTGAGATTTTGTGTCTAATTTTTTATAAGGACACCATTTATAATTTGAATTTATAATTTTTTATGCATCAATGTGAATAACTCGTACAATCTTACTGATATAAACATAAATCGTACATTTGAGTCAACCCACTTGAAGCACTTTTCGTGAAATAAAATACTTAAATATTGTCATACAAAATATTATAATTGAATAATAAAACACCACTTAAATTATAATTAAAGAACTGATGCAATACTTTAGACACAACAAAAAAAAAAATATGAGAAATTAGCGAAGGCCTTTTCGAAGTGGAAGAGAAAGAACAAGCAAATGAGAAGGAAAAAATGATGATTTTTAAAAAAAGATTGAGGTCTCGTTTGGCATGTAATGCTTTTAACTTAAAAGTCAAAAAATTATTAAAAAAATTAAAAAGTCTATAATTTCTATAAAAAGTCAAAGATTTCTTTTTCTTTTACTTTTTGCACATCTTTTCGTAAAAATTTACAAAGTCATTTTAAACATACTATTGCAAAGCATAATACTATTGCAAGATTAATAAAATAAATAAATAAAATAATCCCAGTCCGTATTAAATGGTTAAAGTCTGAAATATAAAATAGAATCAATTTATATAATAGGTTTCTCAGCAATTTATTTGAAAATTTTGATTGTGAAGGTTTTATACAAAGTCCGAAGTCACCATCATTGTCGGTGAAGGTTTTGATTGTATAAATTTCTCAGCAATTTATACAAAGTCCGAAGTCACCATCACTGTTGGTGAAGGTTTCTCCTATAAATTAAACACCTATAGACACATCTTTATCTACTAGCAACTCTTCATTGTGTAATTAAGAATCTACCATCTTCTATGTGTGTTCTTTTTTCTTTGTTTTTTTTCATTCTTTCCAATAACCATGTCTACCATAATGCAAGCAAACATGCCACTTACCTCTCTCAGCATATCCATCAAGAGATGGCACTTAGCCTTTGCAACTATCTACAGTTCAAGAGCCTTCAAACAAATCCTAGCAAACAAACACACCAAATACCAACGTTCACCATCCTACACTGCCCTCAATGTCAACCTGGACCCACCCAACTCCTTCAAGATCGATCAAAACAGCCTCACACAGCTCATGAAGCAAAAGAATTCAGAACAGCTTGCTCAACTTGGAGGACTTGAAGGCATAACTTTGGCTCTTGAAACTGACTTGGAAAATGGGATTCATTGTGACGATGAGGACATTGCATGTAGACATGAAGCTTTTGGCTCAAACACTTACTGCAAGCCACCCACAAAGAGCTTGTTTCATTCTGTGTGGGAGGCTTTGAAGGACCCAACCATTCTCATCCTTTTAGTTTGTGCTGCAATGACTCTTGGTTTTGGCATCAAACAACATGGCCCAAAAGAGGGGTGGTATGATGGTGGAAGCATATTTATTGCTGTCTTTCTTGTCATCACTGTCTCGGCCGGAAGCAACTTCAAACAGAACAGGCGGTTTGACAAATTATCTGAAGCGAGCGATAATGTCCAGGTTGATGTTGTGAGAGGAGGGAGAAGGCAACAGGTTTCAGTGTTTCAAATTGTGGTGGGAGATGTGGTTTTCTTGAAGATCGGAGACCACTGCTGATGGGTTGTTCATAGATGGGCAGTCGTTTGAAGTCGATGAATCAAGCACGACAGGGGAAAGTGATCTTGTAGAAGTGAATCGAAGCATAAATCCATTCTTGTTCTCTGGAACCAAGGTAATGCTGGAATTAATTTAGAATTTAGTAATTAAATCAAATACATTAAAAAAAATTTCAATTCTTGAATTAGAGTCTTTAAAAGTTTAGTCACAAGCGTATGTTCAAAGTAGAGCTCTATATACCGGGTGGACGGGACTAAGACAAATAAAACTTGGCCCAAAATAAAGCTCCCAATTTTACGGAGAATTCTATTTGTACTCAAAAAATCAAAAAGTACATCTAATTTCTCAATATACTCTATAAATTATTTAGAATTATAATTTCCTCTAGTACATCCTACGTTTTTATCTAAAAATTATTATTTTTGATAAAAGGACTCAATTTTATAAATTCACTAAGACCTCATAATACTCAAGGTCGGGCCTGTCTCTATAACGAGATACGTGGTCATTTTTTTGATGTATAAAGAAGTAGAACAAAATTTGAAAAATAAAGAATACAAATTGCTTGTACAGAATTAGTAATTATTTTCAACAGGTAGCTGATGGGTTTGCTCGAATGCTTGTCGCTTCAGTTGGAACCAACACCACATGGGGTAAGATGATGATCAAAATCAGCCACAATTCCAGAGAGGAAACGCCATTACAGACCCGTCTCAACAAGCTGGCCTCAGCAATCGGCAAGGTTGGTTTGGCGGTGGCTTTCCTAGTTCTCTCAGTGCTCTTGTTTCGCTACTTTACTGGGAAAACAAAAAATGGTAGTGGCAAAACAGAGTTCAATGGAAGCAAGGCAAAAGTCGATGATGTGATCGATGCCATGGTGAGAATGATTACTGCTGCGATCACCATTATAGTCATCGCGATTCCTGAAGGCTTGCCATTGGCTGTCACGCTTACTCTCGCGTATTCAATGAAGAGAATGATGGCTGATCAAGCCATGGTTCGAAAGCTCTCTGCTTGCGAAACAATGGGCTCTGCCACTACCATATGTACTGACAAAACAGGCACACTTACACTGAATCAAATGACAGTCACAAAGTTTTGGCTAGGCCAAGATTGCATAGAAGGAAGAGGTTCAAGTACCTCAATTGCAGCCAATGTTCTTGAATTGTTCTGCCAAGGAATAGCTTTGAACACAACTGGCAGTGTCTACAAGTGCACTTCAGGATCCGAATTTGAGATATCGGGTAGTCCCACTGAAAAAGCAATTCTTTCTTGGGGATTCCTAGAATTGAACATGGACATGGCAGTGTTGAAAGAAAATTGTATGGTTCTCCATGTTGAGGCCTTCAATTCGGAGAAGAAACGAAGCGGGGTTTTAATGAAGAGAAAATTTGACAACACGGTCCATGTGCACTGGAAAGGAGCTGCAGAAATGGTACTCGCGATGTGCTCTCATTACTATGATTGTTCTGGAAACATGAAAGTTCTGGGTGATAGTGAAAGAATGAGATTTGATCAAATAATTCAAGGCATGGCTGCTAATAGTCTCCGGTGCATCTCTTTTGCTCATAAGAAAATCTCAGAAGCAGAGCATGCAGCAGGAGAAGATGATCAGAAGCTAAGTGAAACCTGCTTAGCCCTATTGGGGATGGTGGGTCTGAAAGACCCATGTCGACCCGGTGTGAAGAAAGCTGTGGAAGATTGTCAATTAGCTGGAGTAAGCGTCAAAATGATCACTGGCGATAATATTTTCACTGCAAGAGCAATTGCCACCGAATGTGGGATACTCAGGCCAAATCAGGACATAGGTAATGAAGCAGTAATAGAAGGTGTGAAATTTCGAAACTACACACCCGAAGAGCGAATGGAAAGAGTTGAAAAAATTTGTGTCATGGCCAGATCTTCCCCCTTGGACAAGCTTCTAATGGTGCAATGCTTGAAACAGAAAGGTCATGTTGTTGCGGTCACTGGGGATGGCACGAATGATGCACCGGCCTTGAAGGAAGCAGACATAGGCCTTTCTATGGGGACTCAGGGGACTGAAGTGGCGAAAGAGAGCTCAGACATTGTCATATTGGATGATAACTTCGCTTCTGTCACCACGGTGTTGTGTTGGGGTAGATGTGTTTATAACAACATCCAAAAATTCATCCAGTTTCAACTCACTGTGAATGTAGCTGCACTTGTCATCAATTTTGTGGCAGTTGTTTCAGCTGGTGAAGTCCCTCTAACCGCGGTCCAGCTTCTGTGGGTGAATTTGATCATGGACACATTAGGTGCTCTGGCTCTAGCCACAGAGAAGCCCACAAAGGAGCTCATGACAAAGCCACCAGCGGGTCGAATCGAGCCACTTATCACCAACATCATGTGGAGAAACCTGCTAGCTCAAGCTCTGTACCAAATAGCAATCCTACTGGCCTTGCAGTTCAGAGGCGAATCGATATTGGGGGTGAATCAGAGTGTGAACAATACTTTGATCTTCAATACTTTTGTGCTTTGCCAAGTCTTCAATGAATTCAATGCTCGAAAGCTCGAGAAGAAGGATGTGTTTGAAGGGATATTGAGGAACAGGTTGTTTGTGGGGATCATTGGGATAACCATTGTTCTTCAAGTGGTGATGGTGGAGTTTCTGAAGAAGTTTGCAGGTACAGAGAGGTTGAGCTGGGGGCACTGGGGAGTGTGTGTTGGAATTGCTTCTGTGTCTTGGCCCATTGGTTGGGTTTTCAAGTGCATTCCTGTTCCAGAGAAGCCATTTTTCAGCTATCTCAAATGGCCGAACTTGAAATACATTTGCAAATAATCAGCTGGAGATTTCAGTACTTAATTTGTAAAATGTGCACCTAGTTTTCTATCAAAATATTTATAATCCGAGCAGAAGGTTACTGCTTGATATTCAAACTCTGGTTGTATTGTATGTATATTTTGACATGTACCAGATGAGAATCTTTTGTTTAACTCTTAAACATAAACTGTTCTATTTTATGTGTCTAAGACTCTGTATGGCTATAGATTCTCAAATTCAAGTCTAAACACTGTTTTCTTTCAGACCAAATTTGTGTTTTCCAAAAAATGAAAACAGAAAACAAAAACACAGCCAAACAGGCCCTAAATACTTTCTGTGCACCACTGGCCCCAACCCCAATCCCAAAAAAGAGGGCAGCCAAGTGTATGAGGTGCACGCCATTGTGGGATCTAGGACTTACCACAATCCCAAAAAAATAAAAATAAAAATGGAGGAAGTCCATTAAAATGCACTACACAATAAAATGTTTTTCAATTTTAAAAACCCAATCACAATATGGTACAGAATGCACACCGAGTAGTGTGCAATTTCAAGCTGCCATGTTGGAGCTCTGATTACAAGTTGAGGCTGAGCCTTTGTGTCACTATACCAGTGCTCCTCATATGACTTATTAGAGAGTTGGACAATCTTTACAACATCTGAACAATCACAAATTGGATATTAATAGAGTTTCAGTTTCTCCCAAACAGATGTGCCATTATTTATTGACACACCAAATCCAAAGCAGCCACAGGTTGAGGAACTTTGCCATTGTCACTGGGAACCAAACTGTCGTAGTATTCGACCAACACTTCCCAACCACCCGGGCACATAAATCCATCCGGAGGATTTTCCTTGTTCTTTGCAAGCGTTCGCATCTGAAAAATTCAAGTGAACAATTAGATCAGTTATACCTCACATGCATGAATACAAACATGATGCACTTCTTTTCTAGTTCAGTTATATTCATTCACTAAAACGTAATGAATTTCCCTCCAGCTTCTTGGGAGTGGGGTGATGTTGTTGCCTAGCCTCTAGGGTTATGAGAGGTTTATTTCCATCTAGGGAATCTTTTTTTTTTTTTTTTTCAATTCTCACAGTTCTCTTCCTTTTTTCTTTTTAATACCTATTTTAGCCAACTATCAGATAAAAATGAAAAGTTTGCACTGCTTCTTTGAGAAAAGGTACCTTGGTGCCTGAAATGAAGACGAAATCCTGAGGCCTTGCAGGATCAAAAAATGCCATCTTCCCCTGAGTCTTATCGTATGCAGCCACCTGCAGTTGCGCATAATAATAATGAACAATTGGGGTCGTATCATACCAATTTAAAGGACGCGCAATATGAAGGAGATCGTAACAGAGAGAATTGCTTGTATACCTTGAAAGGGAGGATGTTTAGCCTCTCCAGTCCAGGAGCCATGCTCAGCGCCTTCTTTCCATGGTCGGCATCGTATAAATCTCTTTTCTCAACTGGATGGCTCATGCCAGCCGGGTCCCGCCCAACAATGTAGAAGTTGGCCCCTGCATTAATCCGAGCCTTGGCATGCCACTGCACCTCAGTAGGACCAGCATAGTGCATTGGTGATGGGAATATAGAAACCACAGTAGTCTCCGGATCAAGAACCCCATCTTCAAGTACCTGATGAAACAGAAAAATTCTTAAGGAAAATCAATAACAGCAAAATGTCAGCCGACTTGATACAAAATTAATAATAAATTAAAAAAATTACAAACCTTTTCGTGCTGCTTCATTCGCCAACTAAGAGGAACATCATCGGCTTTTGTGTAGCCTCCCAATGGATGAAGCAAGAGGACGGGGTTCTTGTATCCCATCTCAAGAAGTCGACGACGTGTATCTGTCATGAGCAGAGCATGGCCATTGTGCACTGGATTCCTGAGCTGGAAAGCAAACACAGCATCGGCATTACGCCTTGTGAATTCCTCACGGAGTTCTGCAGGGGACAGTCGGAATCGATCAAGACCATCGTGGTACTTGATTGGCTCTATAACCTCCAAATCACCCCCGATGAGCCAGTTTCCAGAATTGGTTATCGCTTCCTCGACATAAGGCAAACCAGGGGCAGTTGTACCCCAAGTTCTTGCTATTCGTTCTTCTTTGTTATGCTTGTAGATCTCAATGCTACAAAATCCATTGCAATTAAGCAATTAAGAACTAAATAAATTATGATTTATCTGAACAATAAAAATTAAGAATAGGAAACTTTTGGGTAAGAATGAGATCATTTCCAAGTGATTCATATGAGAAGTTATTGGTTGATCTTGGGTACTATCCCGTAGTGTCCCAATAGTGTTGTGATTGATCGAGAGGGTGAGACCCATGAATTTGTGTTGAGTGATTGAGAAACATTAGGGAGTATAGTGAATTGTGATTGAGGTGGTGGGACATGGCCACATAACACCCCCAAGACCAACCAATAATTTTTTTTGGATCCATACATCTAAATTTCTGACTCTTACACCATCTGCCAGAAATGTGGGGTCTTTAGAAAGATTATAAAGAAAGCAAAAATCTCACTATCTTCTCTGATATGCACGATGAGGATTAGATTATGGAATACCAAACATCCGTAAAAACATGTTCTTAATTATTTTTTGGAAAATACTATAGGCCTCAAATTTTTTACCAAATAAAAGATTAAATATCTTACACGAGTGTAAATCCCACACTCATATGAGACATTAGTCATTTATTTAGTAAAAAATTTAATATCTTTGACATTACCCTTTATTTTTTTCAATTTGAAATTGTATGACATCCAATCCATCAATAATTCGGTAACCACCGACATAAGACCAAAAACTGAAAATGATAGTGAAACAATCAAATATTAACATGAGCAACAGTTTTCACACCTTTTTCATGTCCTTTATAATCCGTGATCGATAACAAAGTTTGCCCGACAAACAAGGAGACAAGAATTAGAGATGATCCAAACTCTACAACTGCTACTCTACCTTTATGACTCCATTATTAACTCTTCAATACTTATCAATCTTCAATATTTGGGACTAATACAACAATTTAACATAAGAAAATGTTGAAGGAAACAATAAAAATCAACAATACCCAAAAAATTACCAAAAAAAAATCTATAATCACAATTATTAACTTTAAATCTATATATATTTAAGATAAGATAAATTTCATAGCAAAATTTCATTGTAAATGGTATTTTTGAATTTTCTACTTTCATGAAACTTACTAAATTTAAGATAAATTACACTTGGTACCAAATCCCATTTTATCCTCTCCCCTTCCATTTGTGTCTTATCATCAGTCAACTGCAAATTTTGTCAATCTATATTGTTTGGGAAGGGCTAAAGTGGCTATTTTAGTACAAAATATGCTATTTTAGTCACAAAAAACAAAACATCACATCCAACTCATAATCATTACACTCTTCTCTCACAAAAAAATCAAAAAGTCAAAAAGTCCTTCCCAAACCAAGCTTTTTAGCCTAGGCTAAAATAGCCAAAAAATCAAAAAGTCAACCCACTTCCCAAACGGAGGCTATAGTCGGTCTTGACAAGGGGCTTTGACTGCCAATATTGAAAGGTGAGTGAGCAAAGAAAGAGTTGGTATAAAATGTAGGGGTGCGAAAAGTAATTTATCAAAACAATAATGTTTGGGAGGAACTCTAATTTGAGAGCTCTAATGGTAGGTCCCACATATTGATGTGATATTTTAACTTTGTTTTTTTTTTCTTTTTTGAAAAATGATTGAGAGCATTAAAAGTGATGCTCTAATAGCACCACTAATGATGTGACAGTAAACCCCGCCCGCTGTCTATGCCCTTTTTTTTTGATATTTCCAATACATTAATACTATTAGTTGGTTTTTTTTGTAGTAGTATGAATCATTGTTGTTCTTTTTTGGTTTGACACTTCACTACAGCTCACGTTAACATGAGCTCTAGTATTAGAGCTCTATGTCACTATCCTTCATCAAAATTCAATTTTTTACAATTTAACCCATGATCTGCATTACCTAAATTTCACATATTTTAATTTTTCAACCCAATCTGACCCAAAAGAATAGCATAATTCACATTATAATACAGCCCAAGCCACAACAAACTCGTCACATTATAACAAAGCATCATACATAAGAAAACAAAAAAATAATAATATATGATATTCCGAAATCCAACAGCACTGGCATTATAATAATTGCAATTATGTGACTAACAAAAGCATATAAAAATCAGATATAAAATGACTAAAACACCCTTACTTGCTAAGAATCGCTACCGGGTTGTCGCCGGAGTCAACCAGAGCGACGGCGGAGGACTCGCCAATCCGACTCTTCTGGGAGTCGGTGATGGCGAGCACGATCGGCACCGACATGTTGACGACGGAGCCGTCGTCGAGTCGGAGCAGATTGAAATGAAGAGTTTGGAGGAACTCGGATTCTCTCATGAATCCTCGGAGCGGGCTAGCCCAGCCTTCGCTGAGCACGTGAACCCATTGGAGATCGATCCGAGACAGCTTGATTCTCGGCATCGAAAGAGCTTGTCTCTTCTTCTCGTCCCTCTGGGACTCCTCGACGACGAGCTCCACAAGTTTTCCGCCATCCGGGTTGATCAACCCGCAAGAAATTCGGATCTTCGTCGTTTTGGGATTTGAATGGAGAGAGAGAGGGAGTTTGAGGGGTGTGGAGAAATGGGTTTTGGGAAAGGAGAGAGATTGGTATGGGGTTTTGATGAAAAAGGCCGCCATTGATGCCATTGGAGGTGGAGACTGTTGTGTGAGAGCTGTGTCTCTCTCTGGTCTTTTTTAAAGTGCTAGTTTGGAGGGGTTTTAATAATTGAGAGAGACAAGAGAGTATTGTGTGGGAATAAAAAAAATTAGTAATTGATGTTTTTTTTTTTGAAGTTAGGATGGATTGCAAGGTGAATTTTGTAGAGATTGATTATGCAATATCTTTACTTATAGTAAAAACGGGGGGATGAATCTAGACACCATTTTTACTCTCAAATATTTTTGTGTTTTTCTATTTTATATTTGTGTGTCATTCGACTTTCATCCTGACGTTAGTACTCATGTCATGGTTTGGGGCACCCTACTCTTCCAAACAAAAGTATTCACAATTATCCAAACAAATCTTAATAAAAATATGATTTTTTTTTATGAAAATAGTGTGATGGTGTTGTTTTAATAATTAAATATTATTTTATTGAACACTTTAAGTACTATTCAGCGTGTTTTGTATTAATTTTCTGAATTTAATTTTTAAAAAATTGAATTTTTTTTCATTTTTTTTGTTTTTAGTAAATAGCTTTTAAATTTTAAGCAATTTTTTATTTTTTTAAATGTACTTTACTTAGATGTATCTAAATAATAAATTATTTGTGAAAAAAATATTTTAAAAAATTAACAAATACACAAAAATATGAAAAATGTACTGAATTTTCATATTTTTTTTATATTTTTAGTATTTAGTGAATTTTTTTAAGATTTTTTTATAAATATTATACTTTCTAAGTGTATTTATGTTTTTAAAAATTTTAAAAATTACTTAAAATTTTAAATAAAAATAAAAATATATAAAAACTAAGAAATAAATTTTTTTTTAAAATAAATTCTAAAAATTAAAAACAAACAGAGTGACTTTTTTTTTTCCACTCATACACATGACTTAAGAGATCTGCAACAAGCGGATGCCTCACGCCAAGTCTCCACTTTTGTTCCACTCCCATCTTGGCCATAACATCAGCACTTTGGTTAGCCTCTTAGGTAGGGATAGCAATTTAAACCTAGCCCGACGGGGACCCGACCTCCCCGTCCCCGATAAGAGTGGTTTTTTCCTGAAAAAGACCTTCAATGGGACGGGGGTGGTATTTAAAATTGACTCCCCCATTAGTTTCGGGCCGGGGACAGGGATAGTTTTCACAGCCCCGAACCTACCCCGGTCCAGTCCCCGTCCCCGTCCCTGTTTTTTCCTCGGAGTGAAATTGCTCTTTTACCCCTCTCTATATATATATAAACCAAACCTATTTTTCAGTTTCACTTCCTCTGTGTGTGTGTCTCTCTCTCTCACCGTGGCTCTCATCTCTCTCTCTCTCACTCACTGACTCAAATCTCAGTCTCGTCTCGTCTCATCTCTCTTCCTCCCTCTCCTCTCCCTCTCCCTTCGTCAGATCGTGAAGCCCTCCGTCCGTCAGATCGTGAAGCTCTCCGTCTGAACAGATTTGAAGAAGAAGAAGCCCTCCATCCGGGAAGCCTTTCGTCCGATCGTGAAGCCCTCCGTCTGAACATATCTAAAGAAGTGAAGCCCTCCCTCCGTCCGTGATGAACAATTTTTTTTGATGATTGTTGTGTATATATGTATATATATATATCTATGATTAATTTTTTTTGATGATTGTTATATATATATATCTGTTGTTGTTGATGATGTTGTGTGATTTTGTTGAACAGATTTGTTCTGTCGTCCATTAGACAGATTTTTTTTGTTTTTTTTGTTTTTTTTTGGGTTCTTGTGTGTTGAACAGATCTGTTGGGAAATTTTTGGGGTCGGGGAAACCCGATCCTCGTTAGGGGACGGGGGTGGGGGAAGTGATGGGTTCCCTGTCGGGGATCGGGGACGGGGAGTGTCATCCCCGACCTCGTGTAACTAAAATATTAATGTTAACATGTCATTTGTGAAGTCATTTATGACGTAACCACCCACTACCCCCTCTTTTCGTGTTCTGTGATTTCCGACTAGGATGCAATGATTTCCAGTGACCCTCCGACAAGGCTTAAATACATTTCTTTTTACAACAATCATTCTTACCACTAAAAAAAATTTACTAATAGCACTAATGTATTGAGAATATCAAAAAAAAAAAAAAACGCTCACTCAAAAGTTATGAGTAAATAAGTACGTTGAATAAGACATGGTAGTAATTAGTCCTTATATGTTGTGGTCTGATCCAATACAAGCTTGAGTTGAGAAGTTCAAGCTAAAGCCCAAACTTGAGGTTAAGTTGGTTTAGAGGAGTTCACGTTTGCAAAGTGGACAGGCTTAATAGTTTAATGGGCTACGGTGAGTACAACGGAGACTTCAGATTTCGTTATGGTTG